GGTGTGAAGTCGGGATCTACTGTGTAACCGTGCTCGAAGAGTGCTGTGAGAAGTGGATGGCCGGCAGTGACTGTGAGGCTAGCGAGCTGGCAACTAGGGCGAGTGAGCGGATCTGCTGGGTTGCACACGCCGGGCTTATACTCGATCCTGTAGTGGAAACTCCTTTCCATGAACTCCACCCATCTAGCCTGGCGACGACTCAGTTGCGATTGCAACTTGAGAAAACGAAGCGAGCAGTGGTCCGTGCGTATAACACTGTCTGCCCCCTCTCCATACCTTATACGCATGGATGATCGCGAGCGCCTCTTTGTCGTGGATCGGATAGTTCAACTCTGCTCCCCTAAAACACTTACGCGACTCGTACGCGATCGGCTGCAACCCGCGTCCCTGGTCCTGAAGAAGCACTGCTCCTATGGCCTGATCTGAAGCGTCAGCCACTACAACGTACGGGCGAGTGGGATCAGGGTACGACAGTGTCGGTGAAGACGTGAGCGACTGCTTCATCTGCTCGAACGCCTGCTGCTGCGCTGGACCCCAAACGTACTCTACGCCTTTCCGAAGTAGGTCGGTGAGTGGACTAGCGATGGAAGCGTAACCCTGGATGAAACGGCGGTAGTAATTAGCGAATCCGAGAAAGCTCTGCAACTCCTTGACTGAGGTCGGTGCTATCCAATCCTGTACGGCTGCGATCTTCTTCGGGTCGGTCCTAACGCCACTAGCGGATACGACGTGTCTTAGGAACTCGACCTCGGGGAGAAAGAACTCGCACTTCGACTGCTTCGCGTACAGCTTCTCCCTCCGCAAGACCTCAAAGACCCTCTGCAAGTGCTGCACGTGCTCCTCCTTCGACTTGGAAAAGATGAGGATGTTGTCTGGGTAAATGACGACGAATGACCCTAGGAACTCGGAGAGGACTGTGTTCATGAGCGTCTGAAACGTCGCTGGGGCGTTGGTTAAATCGAACGGTAGAACCCTAAACTCGTACAACCCCTGCTTCGTACGAAACGCCGTCTTGTGCTGGTCCTCTGGAACTACACGAATCTGGTGGTAACCCGAACGAAGGTCGATCTTAGAAAAGACTCTAGCGCCCTGCACTGCATCTAGGAGATCCTCTACTCGTGGTACTGGGAACCTATTCTAAACGGTGGCGGCGTTCAGTGCGCGGTAATCTATGCACATCCGTAACCCTCCGTCTTTCTTAGGCGCGAACAGGATCGGTGCTGCCCAAGGCGACTGAGATGGCTGTATGAACCCCTGTGCGAGAAAGTGCCTAACCTGCTGCGTCATCTCCTCTGTCTCTGCTGGACTCAACCTCCACTGCGGCTTCGCTACTGGCCTGCTCCCCGGCTCCAACTCTATTCGATGGTCGACTGCTCGGCTAGGAGGTAACCCTGGGGGCAACTCGTCGGGGAAGACGTCTGTAAACTCTGCTAACAGTGCACTCACCTCAGCAGGAAGAGTCGTCTTCTCACTAACTGCTGCTCTCCCTCCTTTCCCCTCCTCATCTTCCACCTCCTCAAGGAAAACCGCGAAGATCCGTGCCGCTCGCTTCACCAGCTGTCGCACACGAACAGCATTGATGATCGTTATGGATGATGTGGCCCCATCGCTCCACTGTGGCAGCTCCCGGAACTCCCCGTCTACCTTGACGCTGCAGCTTCCCTGAGCCCAATCGAACTGAGTACTAACCGTCCGTAGCCAATCTCTCCCGAAGATGAAATCGTAACCGTCCAGCGTCGCAGAGTCGAAGTCACGCCTAACTGTGATCGGTCCTAGCACTACGCGCAACTTGCGAATGACTGGTCCTATGTGGAGAGGCGTCCCATCTATCATGCGAGCGTCCTTGAAGTTGACTGAGGAATCTGCTTCAAGATGGAGACGGCTAACTAATGAAGACGAAACGAACGAGTGGCTAGCTCCGCTATCGACGAGAATCTTAACAGGAACTCCGCGAAGCTTCCCTAGAAGCACGACTGGTCGGTCAACAGTGTCTACCTCGTTCTCCGTAGATGACTGCTGCGAGGCCGTCTCCTCTACGTTGGTAGACGTGGCGGGTACGGGAACCTCCACGCCAGCTAGCGACCCGCTATCTACTGGCGATTCCGTTTCCCTGCTGCCGCTCCTTGAACTGTAGGCAGTCCCGCTTCATGTGACCCGGCTTTTTGCAGTAGTGACAGTTCCCCCTAAAACTGTTACGCTGTGAGCCGTCACTGTTAACTGCACCAATCTCCATGGGCGATGGTCCGTCCCTCGATCGAGCATCGTTGATCGGTCTGTTGTATCCCCTATCGCGATCGTCACGACCCCGTCGGCTTCGTACTGCGTCGACGCGTTCTGCTGCTGCGACTACTGACTCGAAGGTGGACAACCCGTGAATCGCAATAATCTCCGCTATGTCCGGCTTCAACCCTTCGAGGTAGCGATCGCGCATCTCTGCTTCCGTGATGTCGTCTATCTCGTTGCAGATGCTCAAGAACCGTCGTGTGTACTCCTGGACGTTTCCTATCTGTCGGAAATGACGCAGACGCTTCCTAGCAGCTTCGGAGGCGTTCACCAAGTCGAACCTACTTTTCAGCGCCGCTTCAAATCCTTCCCATGTGGTCGGAACCGTGGTAACACCCAAAGCTAGACTCCCTAAGCTCGAAGTTGCAGCTGCATGCCCCACGCCCTGTTGATGCCCGTCTAACTGAGCCCTTTTGACAGCAGTCTGCGTAAGTTGGCGCCACCACTCCAAGGCCGGGCCCCTCAGCAGCGTTACGGCGTACTCGATCCGCTGCTGCGTGTCCGCTTCTTGCACCCCGCTCGCGGCGAAGTAATTGTTGAGCATGAAGAGCCACGTCCGCACGTTCGTGTCGTGTTGACTTGGGTCGAACGACTCGGGCTTCTGCGGCTTGAGTGCGCTTCGACGTTCCGGCAGCGCTTCCGCGTAAGTCGACGTGGTGGGTGCAGGAGTTGGTGCGGCAAGGCCATGGGGGTTAGAAGCCAAATTGCGAAGCTGTTGCATTTCAGCTCGTACCTGACGATTTTCCAACGTCAATTCTTCGAGTTGACGCATGAGCTCGGCAAGCGTGTTGCCCATGTCGTGGGGGAAAGCGTTCATGGATTCGTCCATGTTCGCTCGACGACTCCAAGTCTGCAAGTCGGCACCGCGGGACGATGACGGCGTAGTCTCGTCGTCGACGGTCGCTCGTTGGAAGTCGCTCCCCGCGAAGGCTCTGATACCAAGTGTTAGGCCCGCTGGCCTAAGTCCGCTAAAGAATTAGCGGGGTCGACTAAGTCGAGGATGAAGCGCGGCGGAAGACTTTGGCGAAAGAACTACTAGCGAAATAGGCGAAGGAGTTACTGAGTAATTGAAGAAGAGTTGAATGAGAATTGGTTGATATGAGGGAATACAAGCAAGGTTTATATAGCATGCAAGAAGGAAAGTTGGAAAATAGAATGTGGGACTAGGAATTGGAAGGCAAACAAAGTAGAGTGCCACGTGGCACTAAGAAATTGAAGAAGATAGGGATAAGGGTGAGCTGGAAAGTACTGTTCAAAGTGAACAGTAAATCCTCCTTTAACACATAAACCCGAAACACCATGAGGCAAGGTGTTTAGGGTTGATGCCTCGCCATTAGGGTAAAGGTAAAGGTAAAGGAGGGGGGAGAGCCCCCTTTGGGTTACCCCCGGGTGTCGATCTTAATCCGCCTAACCACTTGTTTACACGCCTCGCTAGGTATCGAGGTAAGGATATATCCACTCTTAGATGAGCAGCGCCAAAGCCCCTTCTGGGGGCTGGCAGAACTCGCTCGCACTGGGGTTTGACCCATCTTAGGGCGTGGAAAATCGCCCGAAAACGCAATTCGGCCAGGTGGCCGAATTGAACGAACCCTTTCACGAGCTTCGCTGACGGTTCCACAACCAAACAAATTGCATGGTCAAAGTTTGCGAAGCTCGTTTACTGGTTACTTTCGCGACAGCCATCTGGCCGAATTGAGTTTTCTGGCGATTTTCCACGCCCTCACTTGACTGGGTTAGGATGGCCAGCCATTAGGGGTTTATTTTTTCCACTAGTCACTAAACTAATACCAGGTCAACTTCATAATTTACCTGGTCACAAGAAACTGGAAATGTCGAAATCAGTTGCCCCAAGGAATCGGACGCGAGCGGAAAAGCGAGGCGTTCTGCCCAAAGGAATCGGAAACTAGAAAACAGGGCGATCCGTCATTTCCTCTCGGTCTAGACTTGTCTCAGGCCCCGAACCGCGCCCACCGCGGAAACTCGTGAAACCCACCCTAAGTACCCCATACCAGCAGTATACTCCCGTACCCAGCCCTAGCTTTCTTCCGATGGACGACGGATTAACGAACGCGTCGCGTGCGATGGCAGCACAGAACGGCGTGGGCGAAAGAGGTGACCACGACGATGGCGTCGCGGATGATGTGATTGTAACGGTGGACCCTCTCCGCGTGAAGCGCGTGCGGCAGATAGACGTCACCGGCAGCGAGGACCACGTGCTGTACGTGCCACGTCACCCTCTCCCCCACACCACGTGCTGTACGTGCCACGTCACCCTCTCCCCCACACCACGTGCTGTACGTGCCACGTCACCCTCTTCCCCCACACCACGTGCTGTACGTGCCACGTCACCCTCTTCCCCTCTTCCCCCCCCGCGTCTCCCCCCTCTCCCCCCACACCACGTGCTGTACGTGTCACGTCCCTTTCTTCCCCCTTCCTCCCCCCACTTCCCCCCGCACCACGTGCTGCACTTGTTGTAATACGACACTCACAAAGATTACAGATAGCTCTCATTCGACCTTCCCACCCACGGGTGCTCAATCCGTCGTCTCTCCATGCTCTATCGCCAACGACCCCCTCTTCCCACCATCCCCTCACTCTCCCCCCTCCTCTCCTCCTCCTCTCCTTTTCCCATATCCTTCCCCACCCTCTCTCCAACCCCCCACCCCCGGTCCTTCTGCCACACCCCCTCCCCCAGCGACCCCCCCGAGGGCGAGCGCATGCTGGCGCTTCTGGCGCAGCTGGACGTTGCGCGCGCGCGCGCAGCACAGAGGAAGGGCGCGCGGGGGGGGAAGGGGGGGCGGAAGCGGCGGGACAGGGGGGAGGCGGATGGGGATGGTGGCGGGGACGAGAACGAGCGGGAAAAGGGAAGGAAAAGAGAGGGAGGGGGAGGGGAGGACTTGAAAGGAGGTGGGGGGAAGGCATCAGGCGCAGGGGGGGTTGGGGGGAAGGCATCAGGTGCAGGGGGGGTTGGGGGGAAGGCAGCAGCGGAGGCACATGGGGAGTGGGCGTGGCAGGGGGTGATGTCACAGCTGACGTCAGCACAGGAGGAGCTGAGGGTGATAGTGGATCTGGTGAATGCGGTGGAGAGCGGTGCAGAGGGGCTGGCTGTGAGTGGGGTGTCGAAGCCGAAGCAGCATGCAGCAGAGATGAGCGCCGAGCTCACTACCCGGCTGGCAGGCAAACTCACGCTGTTGCAGGTGGGTACAGTGCGGTTCAGTGTGGTGGGGCTGGACTCAGTGTGGTGTGAGGAGGTGGGGCTTGGCGGGGCATGAGGTGTGGGAGAATGTATGTATGCATGTGCGCATGTGTGTGTATGTGTGTGTGTGTGTGTGTGCGCGCGTGCACGCGTGCATTTGTGCATGCACCTGTGCATACGTGGAGGTGTGCATGTGTGCGTGTGTGCGTGTGCGCATGTGTGCATGTGTGCATGTGAGCGTATTTGCATGTGTGCATATACGCACCTCTTAGCTCGTCTCGTCTCTTTCCCTCCCCTGTTGCCGGTTTCCATTCCTCTCTGTGCATCCTATTCTCCACCTCTACCCCTTTCCCTCTCCTCCCCTCCTCTCATCCATTCGCTTGGTTCTCTCTCGCCTTCCCATCATGACTGTCGCCTTTCTTCTTCTCCTCTCTCCCCTCTGCCATCGCCGTCGCCTCCCTCCCGTCTGCCTGCTGCGGGGCTCACCAGGACGTGGGGGGAGGATTGCTGCACGCAGCGGCGCGCCTCACACAGCAAGTCAGCGACGACGCACCGTTCTACACCGCACTCCAGCGGTGAGCACCTCACTGAACCTGCGTGCATGCCTCTCCGTGCCATCCACAGCAATTGGTATACCTGATACCGTTTATTACACATCAACACAACCATCCGTCTCTCCGTTCCCTTCCATCACCGTCCTCCGCCCCCCCTTGCGACCCACTTTCTCTCACTACCCACCATCCCCTACGGTGCATTGTCTCCCATCCCCTGCCTCATCTCTCCCCCCTTGCCGTGCCTCATCTCTCCCCCCTTGCCGTGCCTGGCAGCATACAGCACAGGTGGAAGGTCAAGCGAACCCACCCTGCTCTCGCCCCTCCGCCAACCCCCCTCTCCGCCTCCTCCTCCGCCTCAACCGCGGCTGGCTTTGCTGCTGACGTCACAGTGCAATCGCTGCTCCTCTCCCTCCCTCACGCGCCCCCTCTACCTGCCAGCATGCCTCTCATACCCGCTACAAGCCTCCCCTTTACCTCGTTAAGGCTTGACAGGGACAAGCAGGGAATGCTCCGGGCTGCTCCGCCTGAAGGCCAGCCAATCAGGAGGCTCCACGTCAGCGTATTTGGGAGGGAAGCGGGCGGCGGTTATGGAGAGGATGGTGGTGGTGCTGGTGCTGGTGCTGGTGCTGATGCTCGTGGTAGCGGTGAGGGGGTGGTGGGGAAGGGGGAAGAGGAGGAAGGAGAGGGTGGAGGGATGGCAGAGGGGAAGGAGGGGGAGGAGGGGGAGGAGAAGGAGGAGGAGGGGGAGGAGAAGGAGGAGGAGGGGGCCGTGGGGAGGGCAGTTCACAAAGCTCATGAGCTGCTGAGGGCCGCGCAACGCTCGTGGTTTGACTGGCAGGTAACACGGTTGACTGGCAGGTAACACGGTTGACTGGCAGGTAACACGGTTGACTGGCAGGTAACATGGTTGACTGGCAGGTAACATGGTTGACTGGCAGGTAACACGGTTGACTGGCAGGTAACACGGTTGACTGGCAGGTAACACGGTTGACTGGCAGGTAACACGGTTGACTGGCAGGTAACACGGTTGACTGGCAGGTAACACGGTTGACTGGCAGGTAACACGGTTGACTGGCAGGTAACACGGTTGACTGGCAGGTAACACGGTTGACTGGCAGGTAACACGGTTGACTGGCAGGTAACATGGTTGACTGGCAGGTAACACGGTTGACTGGCAGGTAACACGGTTGACTGGCAGGTAACACGGTTGACTGGCAGGTAACATGGTTGACTGGCAGGTAACATGGTTGACTGGCAGGTAACATGGTTGACTGGCAGGTAACACGGTTGACTGGCAGGTAACATGGTTGACTGGCAGGTAACACGGTTGACTGGCAGGTAACACGGTTGACTGGCAGGTAACATGGTTGACTGGCAGGCAACATGGTTGACTGGCAGGTAACATGGTTGACTGGCAGGTAACATGGTTGACTGGCAGGTAACACGGTTGACTGGCAGGTAACACGGTTGACTGGCAGGTAACATGGTTGACTGGCAGGTAACATGGTTGACTGGCAGGTAACATGGTTGACTGGCAGGTAACACGGTTGACTGGCAGGTAACACGGTTGACTGGCAGGTAACACGGTTGACTGGCAGGTAACACGGTTGACTGGCAGGTAACACGGTTGACTGGCAGGTAACACGGTTGACTGGCAGGTAACACGGTTGACTGGCAGGTAACACGGTTGACTGGCAGGTAACACGGTTGACTGGCAGGTAACACGGTTGACTGGCAGGTAACACGGTTGACTGGCAGGTAACACGGTTGACTGGCAGGTAACACGGTTGACTGGCAGGTAACACGGTTGACTGGCAGGTAACATGGTTGACTGGCAGGTAACATGGTTGACTGGCAGGTAACACGGTTGACTGGCAGGTAACACGGTTGACTGGCAGGTAACACGGTTGACTGGCAGGTAACATGGTTGACTGGCAGGTAACATGGTTGACTGGCAGGTAACATGGTTGACTGGCAGGTAACATGGTTGACTGGCAGGTAACATGGTTGACTGGCAGGTAACACGGTTGACTGGCAGGTAACACGGTTGACTGGCAGGTAACACGGTTGACTGGCAGGTAACACGGTTGACTGGCAGGTAACACGGTTGACTGGCAGGTAACACGGTTGACTGGCAGGTAACACGGTTGACTGGCAGGTAACACGGTTGACTGGCAGGTAACACGGTTGACTGGCAGGTAACACGGTTGACTGGCAGGTAACACGGTTGACTGGCAGGTAACACGGTTGACTGGCAGGTAACACGGTTGACTGGCAGGTAACACGGTTGACTGGCAGGTAACACGGTTGACTGGCAGGTAACACGGTTGACTGGCAGGTAACACGGTTGACTGGCAGGTAACACGGTTGACTGGCAGGTAACACGGTTGACTGGCAGGTAACACGGTTGACTGGCAGGTAACACGGTTGACTGGCAGGTAACACGGTTGACTGGCAGGTAACACGGTTGACTGGCAGGTAACACGGTTGACTGGCAGGTAACACGGTTGACTGGCAGGTAACACGGTTGACTGGCAGGTAACACGGTTGACTGGCAGGTAACACGGTTGACTGGCAGGTAACACGGTTGACTGGCAGGTGACACGGTTGACTGGCAGGTGACACGGTTGACTGGCAGGTAACACGGTTGACTGGCAGGTAACACGGTTGACTGGCAGGTAACACGGTTGACTGGCAGGTAACACGGTTGACTGGCAGGTGACACGGTTGACTGGCAGGTGACACGGTTGACTGGCAGGTGACACGGTTGACTGGCAGGTAACACGGTTGACTGGCAGGTAACACGGTTGACTGGCAGGTAACACGGTTGACTGGCAGGTAACACGGTTGACTGGCAGGTAACACGGTTGACTGGCAGGTAACACGGTTGACTGGCAGGTAACACGGTTGACTGGCAGGTAACACGGTTGACTGGCAGGTAACACGGTTGACTGGCAGGTAACACGGTTGACTGGCAGGTGACACGGTTGACTGGCAGGTAACACGGTTGACTGGCAGGTAACACGGTTGACTGGCAGGTAACACGGTTGACTGGCAGGTAACACGGTTGACTGGCAGGTAACACGGTTGACTGGCAGGTAACACGGTTGACTGGCAGGTAACACGGTTGACTGGCAGGTAACACGGTTGACTGGCAGGTAACACGGTTGACTGGCAGGTAACACGGTTGACTGGCAGGTAACACGGTTGACTGGCAGGTAACACGGTTGACTGGCAGGTAACACGGTTGACTGGCAGGTAACACGGTTGACTGGCAGGTAACACGGTTGACTGGCAGGTAACACGGTTGACTGGCAGGTAACACGGTTGACTGGCAGGTAACATGGTTGACTGGCAGGTAACATGGTTGACTGGCAGGTAACATGGTTGACTGGCAGGTAACATGGTTGACTGGCAGGTAACACGGTTGACTGGCAGGTAACACGGTTGACTGGCAGGTAACACGGTTGACTGGCAGGTAACACGGTTGACTGGCAGGTAACACGGTTGACTGGCAGGTAACACGGTTGACTGGCAGGTAACACGGTTGACTGGCAGGTAACACGGTTGACTGGCAGGTAACACGGTTGACTGGCAGGTAACACGGTTGACTGGCAGGTAACACGGTTGACTGGCAGGTAACACGGTTGACTGGCAGGTAACACGGTTGACTGGCAGGTAACACGGTTGACTGGCAGGTAACACGGTTGACTGGCAGGTAACACGGTTGACTGGCAGGTAACACGGTTGAGTGGCGAGTGAGACGATATCAGCTGCAGTCACAGCGGAAGCCACCAACAGTTGTTCCACGCGTGCTTGCTTGCTTGCTGCCCCCCTTGCCTGCGCTTCCCTACCTCCTTCTCTTCCCCAACCCCCCTTGCGTGCCCTATTGGCTAATTAAGTCATAGCGCACTCACCTCACTGCGCACTCACCTCACTGCGCACTCACCTCACTGCACACTCACGTCACGGTCCTCCCTTCACAGTCCCCCCTTCCTGCGCCGCTCCCCGCTCGCGGTCTTCCCCCCCCTGCCGGTGGTCCCCCTTCCCCCCCCCCCCCATGTCGGTCGTCCCCCCACGGCAGCTGTTCGAGTCTCTTCAGAGCCACCTGGCAGCGGCGTCCACCGTTGCTCTCCCTCTCGCCTCCATCTCCTCCTCCTCCCTCTCCGTCTCCCTCGCCTCCTCCCCTGCCTGCCTCTCTCTGCGCCTCCTCTCCTCCGCCCCTGCCCCTCCCCTCTGGTCCTCCCTCACTCGCCGCGCCCACCACCGCCGTCCCCATCAGCAGGGGCAGGGGCAGGGTGACTTGCAGGAGGGGCAGCAGCAGGAGAAGGGGAAGGAGAAAGGATATGAGCAGAAGGGGCAGCAGGCGGAGCGTTGGCAGGATAGGGCAGCGTTTGGGAGGTTTCTAAATGAGGCAGAGTCAGCAGCTGCACGGGTGTATCTGGGGGAGGCGTATCTGTTGCTCCAGCAGCAGGCACAGGAAAGAGTGAGGAAGCTTCGTTGGCAATTGCTCGACTCGGAAATTGAAGGGGAGGGGAAAGGGGAGGAGGAGAGGGAGGGAGGTGATGGGGGGACTGGGATGCGGTGTGGGGGAGGGGGGGAGAGGGGGGAAGCACGGGTGCGGGCAGCAGGGGGGCTGGAGTGGTGGGGGAGGAGTGAGGGGGGGGGAGGGGGGAGTGCGATGGGGGGATCAGCTGGAAGCGGGAGGAAGGCGTCAGGATGGGGATGGGCGGGAGGAGGGGGGGGGGGAGGGGGGGGGGGAGGCGGTGGTGGTGCTGCTGGCGGTGCTGCTGCTGGTGGTGGTGGCGGCGGTGGCGGGAGTGCGGTGGGGATGGGTGTGGGTGTGGTGGAGCTGCTGTGGGGGGCAGCGGCGCACAGGGCAAAGAAAAGGGCCGTGGAGCGAAGCCTGTTCCGCATGGTAGGGTGCTGCTGGGAGTATGTGCCACGGATGGGTTGGTGTTCCATTCATGGTATCGTGTGGTGTGCCATGCATGGTGTGGTGCGCCATGCATGGTGTGGTGCGGCATGCATGGTGTGGTGCGGCATGCATGGTGTGGTGCGGCATGCATGGTGTGGTGCGGCATGCATGGTGTGGTGCGGCATGCATGGTGTGGTGCGGCATGCATGGTGTGGTGCGACCCTCCCACCACCCACCGCTCATCACTCCCTGCCTCACCTCACGTGCGCCCGCTCCTGCCCCCAACTCTCCTCCCATGCCATGCCTCCCCCCACTCCCCTGCCCCATCCACCAGGCGCGCCTCTGCCCACACCTGGCAGTCTGCTCGCATGCCACCCACCACCCCACCATCGCTGCCTGGACGCTCTCCTTCCGCGCTCCTTCCTCCTGCACCGCTCTGCACTGCACTCGCGGGGCACATGGTGGGCGGCTGGGTGAGGCGGAGAGAGGGGTGGGCGGGGCACGGGGGGAGGGGAGTGCACACGGGCAGGGAGGAGGAGAGAGGGACGAGGGGACAGCGGGAGGAAACGGAGAGGCAATGAGGTTGAGAGAGAAGGAGGGTAGGGCAGGGGTAGAAGCAGGCATGGAGGAGGGTGGGGGTTGTGATGTGGGAGGCGACAGGCAGGGCACAGTGGGAGGTGCAGCAGCAGAGGAACCAGCAGCAGCAGCAGCAGCTGCTGGGGCTGCTGAGGGTGATGGGGAGTTGCAGCAGGGGGGAGGGAAGAGCGAGGGCAAGGAGGGGAATTGGGGAGCAGGGAGTAAGGGTGGGGGGGAGAGCGAGTGGGAGTGGGAGGTGGCGGTGCAGCTGAGAGACGTGGAGCTCTCTGTGCTGCCAACCTTGGAGACGGCAGGTGCAGGTGCTGCTGCTGCTGGTGGTGCTGGTGCTGCTGCTGCTTCTCACTCAC